CATTTCTTGAAAGCCATGATGTTCTGCGTGAGGGTCCCCGTCTTGTCGGAGAAGATGTATTCGATCTGCCCCAGCTGCTCGTTGAGGGTGGTGGTTCTGGCCTTGGCAGGGGTGTCCTTCTCCGAGTAGTACATCTGCAGGTCCCAGTTGATGAACCTGCTCTGCCCCAGGCGAATGGCCTCCACACTTTACAGAGACACGTCAACACAAAGAGTCACTGTATACCCTCACCTGGCAAACATGTGGGACACACTTATTTTAATGAATTTGAATGAATTAGAATATCTATTCTGATAGACCCAAAAAACAAAGATACACAATTTATATAATTTAGGTTATATCAGAATGCAAGTACTATACAAGGGGAGATGTATTCTACACTGCTCCAAACTATTGTCCCCATATCTTGAGGTAACTCTTCAGCGGGAGAATGGAGTTTCTGTTAATCAATACCGGCCTACAGCTTTCATCCTCTGTCTGTCAACATGCAAGACTTTTTTTTCCCCCTTACCACCAGAGTTTACTCCACACTGTAACTTACAAGTGGTATGTTGCAGCCACATACATTGCATTGTTTTGTTATACAAAAGCTCTTCTGGAATCTCCACTCAGCTTTTTACCGATAATGGGGACTTTCCACCAATGTGTAGCCCCCACCTGGATGATGTGACGGCAGTCAGAATGCGCCAGTATGCTCACCACACACCAGCTCTCAGTGGGGAGGAGAACAGAGTGATGAAGCCAGTTCAGAGATGGGGATTATTAGGAGGCCTTGACTGGTAAAGGCCAGTGGGTACACTCCTACTCTTTTCAAGAAACGCCCTGGGATTTTTAATGACCACGGAGAGTCAGGACCTCGGTTTTATGTCTCATCCGGAGGACGGTGCCATTTTACAGTACAATGTCCCCGTCACTATACTGGGGCATTAGGACCTGCAAAGACCGCAGGGTGAGCACCCTCTACTGGCCCCACTAACACCTCTTCCAGCAGCAACCTTATCTTTCCCAGGAGGTCTCCCATCCAGGTACTCTCCAAGCTCACACCTGCTGAGCTTCAGTGGGGCTGCCAGTTGTGTGTAGCAGGGCGATATGGCTGCTGGCACTTTAGCTAAAAGGTCTTTGAATTGCTAAGCAGTGTGGATAACAGAAATCATATATATGTAAAAAAAACTCAAATGAGATGGATATTACACCAAAGTTCGCTTCCTAGATTTTAATCCCACAGTGATCCTGAAAAGGAAATATCAGGCAGGAGGGAAAACAATGAACAGCTTGTTGCCTCACCTTACATAGAGGGAAATGGGTACCATGGTGTTCAGCACAATGATATATCCCCAGAAGCTGAGAAAACCTCTGTAGGAGGAACTCTGATTCTTGCCGTCGTACAAATACCAGGCAATGCTGCCCATCTCCTCATACCAGAAAGTGTGGCCAATGGCTAGGCCAGCTGCCACCAGGATGAGGAGAATGAAGATCTGTAGAAGTCACACAAAATATAAGAACCTCATTCCTGGACAATGACAGCAGTGTCAGAGTACGTTTGCTTTTCTTTTCATTTAAAAAATTGCAATTTAGTAAGGAACACCATCTTGTGAGCTCCAAACACAAATATACATCATTACATTTTTATCTTAATCGTACTTGGAATAGATTGAGGTCTTAAAGCTTTTATACATCCGCAAATAACGCTGACGTTTCAAAAACATGGACTGTACTTACAGTGTAGACCATGTAGTTCATTAACTCATCTATTTTAGTCCTTTTGAATCTGGTTTTGCCGCCATTCCTCATGATTTTGGTGTCGGAGCCTGACAAAGGAAAAGGGAGAAAGCGAGGTGATGCTGGGAATGTTGCCAGTATTCTGATTTTAAAAAGCTTCCTGTCTTTTAAAACCAGGTTTTAAAAGGCCAATTTAATAATCTGATCACGAAAAGCACAAAATAATATAACATCCATTTCCACAAATCGGATTTCTCTAAGGGATTTTCTTTTCCGGGGAGTTGTTTAGGGAGATAGTAATATTATATTATTGCAAAGGAACAAGTAATAGGTTTATTCCATGTTGAAAAGAGAGGAAAGAAAACACAACGTTCCAGCTGTGGAGCCTTCTTTAGGTGTGTGATACACACATGGAATAAACCTATTACTTGTTCATTTGCAGCCTACGCATGCAGTATTATATTATTATTATTATTATTATTTGGTTACACTCATAAAGGGCATTTGTGGACACTCCACTCAAAGCACTTTACAGGTAATGGGGACTCCCCTCCACCACCACCAATGTGCAGCCCCACCTGGATGATGCGACGGCAGCCATAGTGTGCCAGAACGCTCAGCACACGTCAGCTATCAGTGGGGAGGAGAGCAGAGTAATGTAGCCAATTCATAGAGGAGGATTATTAGGAGGCCATGATTGGTAAGGGCCAATGGGAAATTTGGACGCCAGGGTTACACCCCTACTCTTTTCAAGGAACGCCCCGGGATTTTTAATGACCACAGAGAGTCAAGACCTCGGTTTTATGTCTCATCCGAAGCACGGCGCCTGTTTACAGTATAGTGTCCCTGTCACTATACTGGGGCATCAGGACCCACACAGGCTGCAGGGTGAGCGCCCCCTGTTGGCCTCACTAACACCTCTTCCAATCAGAACAGCAACCTTAGCTTTCCCCAGGAGGTCTCCCATCCAGGTACTGGCCAGGCTCACACCTGCCGAGCTTCAGTGGGGCTGCCAGTGGTGAGTTGCAGGGTGATATAGCTGCTGACACATGGACCGGGCCTTGCCTGCGTAGATGACCAAGCCGTGGCAGAACTCGGTGTTCCGGACCGTGCAGCCGCGCAGCAGTATGTTGTCCAGGTCCAGCGCGTACCTCTCCTGCCTCCACTTCATCATGCCAATGAACTTGTCCAGCCGGTTGTTCGGCTCCTCACACTCGATCATGGCTGCAAGCAAAATGAGTTTCACGCTGCTCGGGCTCAGGCCTGTTTTGAATATTTCTGCGCATTTCAAAGGCAAGCTGAGGGGGGCCTTCAACGGCTTTCCAATTTTGGACCGGGCCGTTGCTTTGGAGCGCAGACGCCGCCGACGTAAATCGGTTCATCAGGAAAGGAGAAAGAACAGTTCAAGCGGAACCGCAACACTATTTTTATATTTCGGGGTGAGAAAGAATCGGCCCTGAGAAGTGCATTTCAAACCACAATGGAAGTCAAATGTCCACAGTAACTTGTAAAACATCCAATTTACATCACAAAAATGGACGACATTTTCAGGTACTCAAAGCGCCATATGCCATGGCCAGGCCAGGGGTTTGCGACAACTTTCACAAAGTTCACCACTTTGTGCTCGATTTGGAATTTGTCAAATTTTCCTAGACCGTCAATAAATGTATTTTGTTACTGAGATTCAATAACCGGCCTGCGAAACTGGAACTGCAGTTCCCCTTTAATTAAGGGGGAGCAGATCTCCTAGGCACTCCGTACAGAATAGATTGTCGTTGGACTGCATCGTTTCAGGAAAAAAAGGAAGAAGCAATACTGCCTGTGTGTACGTTAAGCAAGACGAACAAGAGTTTGCCGAGGTTTCTGGGAACAGAAATAGATCTACACTATTAACGTGAAACAACACATCACACCTGTAATGCGTACCTGCTCCCTGCCTAAAGACTGCTCCAGCCACGTGCTGCTCCTAGATGCTTAGATTTAAATTGCTTTGAGATGCAGAGATATTATTTTTACGGACTACAACAATACAGTAGCCTTGATAGTAAGCTATTGCAAAATGAAAGCAGCTTTAGGAAAATCAAGCCAGTGCAAAGTGGAATGTGGAAGAGTGCGACACCAAACTCACAAACCCTGAATCCACAAATGAACCTGAAATCAACACATTCCCTGAAACAGGACAAAGCAGCTACTAAATAAGGAATCCAAAGAAGACAAGAAAAACACGAATTCTCTTCGTTGAATGAACTAATAGATTGATTCAGTAAGCACCTCAAAGACGGTCTGACAGAAAAGAACACCTTCCAATGAGAAAACTGTGAAGAGGACAACTACACATACTTAACGGTTAGTTATTCAAACCACATGGTAAAAAACGTGAAATAAATATCTGGCTTTCACCAAACCATCTAACATTTTTAAAAAGTCTCATCACCATTGTACATACCATCAAAATTGGCCAGTTGATGTTCTGTTTGCAGTCTTTCATGCGTTACTTTCAGGCCCATTTTAAATTTTAAATTGGTCTCTCTGCAAGATGAAACAATATAGGAGACATTTCAATACAGTACTATTAATGGACTGCAATGAGTGGAGACTGCCTGGATAAAGCTAACCACTGCTTTTTTTGTGCTTTTTAGTATTGATTTCTGATCCTCCAAGTCAGCCACTCTTAGTACATTATTTCAATGGGAGATGGCTGGTTGCATTTAGGCCTAAATGCATTTTTACATGCATACATTTTTTTCCATCATCTCTTTGGGCAATATCTCATCATCCAGCTGTTTTCTAACTACGTTATCGAATACAAATGAAGGGTCGCTGGGGAGCCAAAGCCTATCCTGGCCAGCAACAGGTGGAAGGTGGGATACACCCTGGATGGGACACCAGTCCATCTTGGAGTACACATGGGCACAAACACAGTCTCATCACACCAGGGCCTATTTTTTCCCAGAAGCCAATTAACAACACACCCTTGAGATGAAACCAGGGCACTCAGGGGAAACATTCATGCAAACACGGGGAACAGACAAACTCCACACGGACAGTACGGACAGTACCCCCAGTACCCCCTGTGGAAATGAATCCAGTGCTGAGAGGCACCATGTTAACCCCTATGCTAACGTGCCAAATGAAACCATTTTTCTAAAAAAACTTCCTCTTCTAGGTGAATCTCATGCAATTATCTACTGCTTTGCATGATTGAAGTCCAGCAGCAGAGGATTTTGTGAGATGTTTCTGAAGTGAGTGGTAGTCTATTAACACAACCACCTTAATTAGACTGCCCTGACCATCCAAGCCACAGGCCCACACTTGTCTGCGCATTCCTCTCCTTGTCTGTACTCACTCCCACCAAACAGCCAGCCAGCTCCCCCTGTGCAAGTCTTAAACTTTGTCACTAACTATGTTTGTCCAAAAGGTGCCTTGTCCTGAAATACTTTCATAATCCCTTGTAAAAGGTGGAGACTGTGGCAGCAAGTCAGGAGAAAGCACTAAAGTTATTCTGTCATTAATTGATCAAAATCTTGCAAAACAAAATCAGAAGGCTGTTGCATTCCGAAGAATTTAAATTATGACAGTGTTCCAGTTCATTTATGATACATCAAAATGAAGCATTTGGCATAATGTAATATCAGTCAGTCGCTGATCCACTTTGAGATCTGAACAGTAAAATTTGAACTCGGAACAGTATGTTTCAAGCTCATTTACTTTTTTACACGTTTGTATGACGATTTTTTAGATTAAATCAAAAGCAAGAAAAAACATAAAAGGGCCTTACCCATCAAGTTCAGCTGTTTCTACATAACACAGACTGTTTGGTTCTGAACTGGATAATAACAGAATATCAGCCTAAACAGAAAAAAAAAAATGAAATAATATCAAAAGGTGTAATATAAAATGCAACAAAATGTTCACACATTATACAATTTTCTGGAAAGCATAAAAGTCTGGATATGTGCTCCAAGTAAAAAAATAACATATGGATCTTACAGGAATAAAGTCATTTTTCTTTAAGCGAACTACATCCCCAACTTGAATTTTCTTCCACTTAGATTCCCGGAACCTGTAACAAATGCCATACAGAAATACATGTTAGAGCCACAAAAACATTCTAGCCAGCAGTTGGGCAGACAGAATTAACAGAACTACTGCAAATAACCTTTTTGTTTCATGAATATCCACTAAAGACATGTATATAAGCATCAGACAATAATCAAGCAAATATGTTTATCACTGTCCCTTCTAATCAAAGTACAGTCTGTAATCAATCACTAAACTCTCACGTAAAAGGACTCAAGGTTTAAAGCTTATTTTGTTTGTTTTTATATTTAACTATTAGTGATACAATACAAGGGGCATCTAGAAAATAAACCAAGTAGTGTTCACTCTGTGCTCAGTGCTACTAAAAACAGAATATCAAAAAGAAATTGTACACCACCTGCCATTGAACAGGACTTCAGATTTTCTGTTGTTAATTTCTTTGTCCATCCTGTGACGGGCCTAAAAATAAGTTTTTAACAGGAGAAATGAAGCTCACTGAAGTCATTAAAATCCTGAGCTCTTTATGTTACAAAGAATATATCTACAAAACTATTCTGCCTTTGCTATTCTAAACTTCAGCAAAAGACCTTGTGGTTGTGTCTTGTACTAAAAGTACAAGACATAAAATGTACATCAAATGATGACAGATTGTCTGTATCGTAGACAATCCTTCTTAACTTTTCCTTAAAGCAGGCGCGTCAAACACAAGCATCAGAGAGTGCATACCAAGTCATCCACTAAGTCTTTGATGGCTGTGATTCCCAGCACCAGCACTAAAGGCACCAGAGTAGTGTACCAAGGCAGAGTGGAGATTTCAGGAATAATCTGAAAGACAAACACAGAAGTGCAATAGAGTCCATATACTACTGCAAAAAGTCATAAAAAGTACAACTGCCCCTAAACTGTGCCATGCTTTCAATAAGCATCAAGCGTCACCAGAAAGCTGTTACACCTTAGGAGTCTCAACCCAAAACCCAATATAAAGAAAATCTCAGGAGTTTGTTCTTCAACAACAAACCCTGCTTGGTGGTTTTAAGGTAGCTACGTGATCTTGGTGCCATGTTATGAGTCCCCACATTCCATCTGGGGACATGGTCTTATCTTAATCGCAAGATGTCCCAGTTGCCGCTGTCCAAAATAATTTTAGGGACTGACACAGGTGTCTTGGACAGGGTCCCACATGCTGGTGGGAGGAGTGAGGACATAATCTGAGAATGGGAAATACGTTGCAATGTTTTGTCATGCTTTTCAAATTAAAATCGGTTTCCTAAAAAAAACAAAACATGATTGGTTATTGTCTCTCTTTCAAACTGCTTGGAATTAGTCTCCAAAACAAAGTCGAAACCATGTCTCCCTGCAGATGCAAAGCGAATCAGAATTATCGGGCATGAATCAGGGATCTATTTTTTTTTTTAATATTGCTTAATTCAAAGGAAAATTCTGTTTCCAACCTATCGATCGAACAGCTCCTGTTGTCTGTGACTGTGGTACAAAACAGCCTCTACATTTCACTCCCATTGTGGCTGTACCATGTGCATTTTCAGATCTTTGTGACTAATGGCACTACATAAACGTTACCCATTGTCACTGCGCTTTGTTCACTTTGACCACTGTGTCAGAATAAAGAGATTTACTGGGTGTCAGACTGACACGTCGACAGCATGCCCCGTTACTGGGCCGGACGGATTCTTCTCTCACTTCATCACCACACTGCGGTATGAAGCCGCCAGTTAAACACCCTGTATTTGAGGGCCCAGTGGATCTGTTTGACAATGGCCGTCCACGACTACACTAAGACAGTCTCCCCCATGCCTCGGCTGGAACAAGCAATGTGCAGTGACCTTTCAGTTACTTACCTGTAAGATCAGCAAGCCAAGGAAGTAGAGGTTGGCAGCTCGATTGAATTGTTCAAAGAGGTTCAGGGGTAGAAACGTCAGTGCATTGTATTTGTAGGTTTTGATGGCATTCCCCTGGAATAGAAAGGAAATATAATGCCGATCTTGCACTCTTGAATTTAAAGGAAATAAAAAATATGCATTAACACAAATTCACATTCATCTCATCAGCATCTGTAAGGGTCTTATTCATATATAAAACTATAAGTTGGAATAACATCAGTCGTGGAATAAAGTTATAGGTTAAAGGTAATGAAAAACACTGAAGGGGCATGAATCTCCACAGTCAGCATGACAATGTGGAAAAGGGTAGATCACTTGCACGCTTCCTGGTACCTTGTGGTAGAGAGAGAAAGGGGAAAAAAAAGACACCACTCGAAAAAACCTTCCAGGTAGAAAACTATTTTAGTGAACTGAAACTTTGTTTAAATGGGTCAGGAAAAAGGTGTATGAACGCAAAGCAGCTGATGGGGGAAAAAAGACTCAGTGTCAAAAAAGAAACAGTGTCAAAGACCTGCCACGCATTCCTTTGGGAAATTCCAGTTTGGCAATGTTGATGTTGTCAAGCAGGAAGTTCTATCTAATTTCTGTGAGCTCAACAACAGAGTCACCTGGAGCTAAATCGCTCTAGGGCACACATTAATATCATGGAGCCAAACATGGTGGTGGAATATTCGGTTACAGATCACTTTCTCATTCGTTATTTTTTTTTTTAAAAAGCAAGAGAAAATTATTCAAAAGCACATGCCAAAAGACCACTATCAAATAGTACATAAACTAGAGGGGGCTATTCAAACTGTTCAGCACGTTTGATTTCTAGCAGCTCGTTGAAAAGAGGAATCTTGTCCAGCCATTTCCTGAAAGAAAGGAGAATATCAGCTTGGACAACAAGCCTGGGCAGCTTGTTGAGGACTCCCACAATCCTCATGGTATTCTTCCTCACTTCCTGTGATTTAGCTTCGAAGAAGGAAATGGTGCAATCGTAATTACAAAGACAGAATTAAACAAAATGCTCAATAGAAAGGGTTAAGAAGCTCACATTTTAGAGAATAAAAAAACTTTTAAGATAATTTAAAATGTACACAGACAAAATCTGATCGAAAAAAATGCCAATATTAATCATCTTCATTTAGCTATGGTACCTCACAGTAGGGGCCAGATCCAGGTTTCTTTGCCATTATTATTTAAATTAGATTTTCAATGCTTTTAAATGGGACTTTAAAGTTAAATATAACATCCAGTTTTCTAAGCCTTATATAAAGGGCACTTTATGGCACTTAAACTAACAACAGTGAGAAAGTGCAAACAAGGAACTCAAAGAATATATTATTTACATTTCCTATTTATCACATTGAGTGTAAAAAAAAATTACAGCTGTGGGAAGAAATTCCCCAAGACTCCCAATAATTTTGCATCTCCCCTTCTATGAGGGTCTAGCTACCACTGGTGATAAATGTTCATGCTTTTTGGAATCAGAAGTGACAGAATTTTCTGCAGAAAGTAATGGCTCTTAATCATTCAGTCCACTTCTTCAGAATCAGCAATGAAATAAAAGCTGGAAGACACAATCGGAAATTACGCAGAAGTGCTTTTAAATCTCTGAACAGGAGCCGGTTCTTATACACAAAGGGCTGTGGGAGTATGGAACAGGGTACCTAACCATGTTGTTGAAACAGATACCCGAGCATCTTTCAAGGAATGGCTGGATGAGATTTTCAAATGAATTACAGTAGCTACTAGCAACTAAACAATGCAGATGTGTCCAATGGTCTCCTCACTAATGTCTTCTCAAAACAGCCCAAATCAGATGAGCGACAAGCTGCATTATCACATTGTCAGTTATTGTCTTCATTGTCGCTACACAGCAGGTTTTACACATTGCTTACAGCACTTTATGTAATGAATTTCCATGGTCATAACCGAGTTTGTTTTTGAGCATTTTTTCAAAATTCTGTGCTAACAAGCCACATCTAAGAGAGGACCTTGTGTAGTTAATGAACCTGTCTTCCTTGAACTGAGAATAATGCACAGCATAGTTACGAAGAAAAGACAGAACTTACTGAATATTTACTCTGCTTTAAGCAGAGAAACGTCTTTTTCTGAAACTCTGGCAAATTGTAGAAATCTTTATCATTTGCTTTAACTTTCCAGGCGCCCACTGTAAAAAAAAAAAGAAGCAAAACAAACATTCTCTCACTTAACAGAGTGGACGCAACTCACATACATCTATATAGGAGTGGTTGTTTCAGAATGTGAAACTAATTTCTTGCCTTTTTCTACCCACTACAAATTTATAAATCTACAACAGTAAACTAAATACCTTCAGAGTTAACTTATGATGTGAGAAGTTTTAGAGATTTCCAGATTTTCGGTTTACCTGCCCAAATTATAATTTTGTGGACAAAACATTGTTGATACTTCAATCAATACACAGAAGAACAATGTGCGTTTTTCTTTAAGCAGACGCCGTAAAATCATGTATTAGTTCTTCAACAGGGGTTAACAAACCACTGGTGTGCGTCCTATCGTTATAGGAATTGATTTTTCAAAAGCAATCTAAAAAAAGGCAACGTTTCTAGCATGAACAGATCATTTTTTTTTAAATAGTGGAGGTCAGATAACCCTAAAAATCCTGCATCGACACATCGAGTAAAACCTGAAAGTAAAATAGTAAAAGGACTTTTTTTGTGTCTTCATGCTGAACACAGATAAACGTGAAGTCACCTGTAGAGTCGGACAGATCTGAATGAAATCAGCACAGGAGGAGGTTAATACTCGACAACATTACATACCTATTGTCTCAGGTACAGTCTCCTGCTGTACCTGGCTATCTTCAATGTCTGTCCTCTCATCAAGTTCGTCATCTGTTTCATCATCACTGTATGGCACATATTCATCATTGGGACCCAGAGAGTCCTCAGAGTTTACCCTGTTACTGCGATTCATGGTGTCAGGAAGGGTCTTCACTGAGGGGGAGAAAGAAAGATTTAGACATTTTTCAAAACACAGAAATAAAAGAAATGCGTCCGATTTGAAAAGCTAGTGAAGTTTTGAACAGATTACCATTGTCTTTTATGAAAAATTCAAAAGGCGTTTCTGCACACATAAAATTAATGTCTTTCCTAAATTCATTAAGAAATGAAGGTGATCTCAATGTATAGAATATGTAACTGGAACCAACCCTGCAGTGTTGTGTTATCGGAAGTCATGGTCGCCGTTTCACATTGTGCTCTCTGCTATTCTTACCTGCATCTGCCTGCCCGAAGAGTGACATACACAGGCTATTCAGTAAATACATGTAAAAGTAGGCAGCTCATAATCTGCGATTCCTGATAGAAAGGGACAATAGCATGTCTTACTCTTGCTTTTCTAATTTTTAGTTCACTATCCAACAACTAAAAATGCAACTGAGAATAGGAAATAATGTAAATAATTCATCTTGTCCTGGGATTAATGTTTTCACACTGTATGTTCTGTACTCTTCTCATTGTCAGAACACTTCCTTCACAAGCTCATTGTTTTTTTTTCCCCCCTTTAGATCCTACCGAGTTGTGCAAGAAGCCCGCTATTCATGAAACACATCAATCAGATACAGGTAAAGATTACCTTTCGTATTCGGTTTCTTTCTTCTGGATGTCTGAGTCATACAGTCTGGAGATTGCTTAAGCAAATACTAGCTTTGGAACAAAAAGTAACTGAACTTAACTGAACCACTGGTTTTACAGTATATTGCCACATACTGTACTTTGTTTACCTTTGAAAACAAGAAAAATGGAATTACGTAAACCCTGCAATGCATTCCATGCTAGAAGAGTTTTGAGAACTTCAGGTTTTACAATTGTGAAATTGATGTAAAACCTGAAGTTCTCAAAACTCTTCTAGCACGGAAAGCATTGCAGGGTTTACGTAATTCCATTTTTCTTGTTTTCAAAGGTAAACAAAGTACAGTATGTGGCAATATACTGTAAAACCAGTGGTTTTACAGTATATTGCAATTTCTAACTGCAAAGTATTTTTATTAAATGCTTTGTTACATCTACAACTAAAGGCACCCTATTTAGTATATTTTAGGCATTTTAAACCTTCCTCAGGAAATATCTTTAATAAGAATAATTCCTTGCATTTATATATTGCCAGTCCAAAGGGGGGGTCTCAAATGTTTTATTCTCTTACATGTAAAAGTCCCAAAGCACTTTACCCAGAAGACAGTCATACATCCAGCAGTGAAGTGCACATAGAAGACACATTGTATCCACCAAAAATCTCCACTGTACTGCACATCAAGTAGGGACACAAGACACAATTTCATCCACTGTATTGAGGGACAACATTAAGAACTGTTCAAGCCCTTAGTACTAGGTGTAGCCAGGACACAACACCCACACCTTAATACCCCTGCTCTATCATCAAGTGCCCTGGAGTCTTTTACCTTTACTTTTGGAGTACACACCTCCAGACTGAGCACAAAGCAATGACAGAAGTGAGAGTACTGAGGTTTCTCAGTCCTAAGTGTATCCAACATTTCATATTCAACATCCACGAACATTCTGCTTTCAACACCAGCAGGCACTCTGAAGGAACCGCGCCAGGTATCATGGGAGAAAGCCAATATTACGAGCGAGAACCTGCCGTCTGACAGACTACAGACCCAAGACCCCGGTCATCATCAGTCCACAGGCAAACTGGTTAGGGAAGACACTGACACACAAAATATTAATGCCTTGATATGATAGCAGCAATCAAAACCAAAGCCCTGGTTATAACATTGCCCAACAATGGGCACTGCTATGCTGCTGGATTACACACACCAAATAACACAGGGGGTATCTTCCTTACCATATCACCAGGACACGCACGTACAGATGGCCGACGCTGCAAATATCCAAATGCCAAGCACAAGCTGCAGAGCTGCAAGAGGCTATGAAAATGATCAAAAGTATTTTAGAAGTACAGTATGGAATTGAAAGGAACAAGTCACGTTTTATTCCATGCTGAAAGGAGAAGAAAAACAACGTTTCGGCTGTGGAGCCTTCTTCTCTTTTCAGCAGGGAATAAACCTTTACTTGTTCCTTTACAGACTACGCATGCTGACGCAGCTCCCTGCTTGGACTACTTCAGCATATGTGAGGGCAAGTAGAGGAAATTACTGTAAGAAAATAAAACAATCAAAGTCAGAATAGGAAAACTGCTGGTGGCTTTTTTACGCAATAAAATTGGTGGTTGTATTACAAAATGTTTTCTCGTCTCCTACCCAACCAATGTTTCACTCAAAAGTCAGCTAAAACGGGTCTCTTCCTTGCTTCTTTATACTCCAGAACTCTGAAGTGGGGCAGACAGCTGTACGAAAGAAAGTCCTTGTTAAAGGACTCTTAAAACAATGTAAATGGAGTCAAAACAACACAAGGATTTTGGACAGTAACTCAACCGGTCTCCATCCTTCAGTCAACGCTAACCTGAATAAGACAGTACAAGGGTAGGTCCCCAGTTGTCTTGGGCAAAAAGGAATTATTGCAGTGGCACACACTTCCCTGTGATAAATACAGCAGTTACAAAAATGCTGCAGTCTTAACCCTGCTGCGTAGGCTTTAAGCATTAAAACCAAAACAGTATGGGAAGAGACGATTTGAGCTGCTTGTTATCAAAAAAGCATGCAGGTGTTCCGAAGAGAAACTGCATTTTACTGCAAGTGGAAGGTAGAAATTGCATGGTTACAGCCATCGCTAACACAGCTTTCCTGGAAAACAAAGCACATTCTGTGACGACGTGGGAGTTCTCAGTTTCGTGACTTTCAGAAATTTCAGGATTCGACAAAATACCAGTGAATACTGGAGTTGCCGTAGTGGTTTGCTTCACAGCTCGTCACCTTCAAAACCAACTTTAAGAGCAGGAAGACACACGGGTTGTGAAGGCCACACAGCCCTGAGACTGCCGAGGTCATGCTCGTTTTGTAGTTGCCACTTTCATGGCCTTGTTCTGGAAAACTGACAAAGAACAGCAGCAGAACAGATTCTTCTTATTCAGTCCGTTCCAAATTTTATGTTTATGTAACATTCCTACTGCCATTTGAGCCTTTCTGGACAAACGTGAAAAATGGATAGCTCACATACAGTACAGTCTCGTTACTGTATGTGTGGTTTTGATCTGCCCTTCTATTACTAAGAAGTAAAATTCTACGGTGTTTCCATTTCCACTAGCCATCTGTTTTGCATTGTAAAGAATATAGGAATATGTACAAAACTTAAGATCAGTTTTCTGATTTGGGGGCATTTGTATAAGACTTTCAAGCACTGTATTTGGAAAACAAAAAGGAAGGGTAAGCCAGGTTCTTTGTCATGCTCCCAGACTCAGAAGCACATATCTAGTGTTAATACTGGCCTGGGGCCATCAGGTATCTGTTAGTACATGGCGTCTTCCCAGAAGATCCCTCCCTCTTCAATATCAAGCAGAAAGACGCAGTCAGTGCCTGACCTTTGGCCTGACGTGTGACTCTGTAAGTGACACAGAGCCAATTCACCGTTTCATAGCACAACTCTTCTCTGAACTCTACAGAGCAGTAGTTTCATGACCACCACAAAACCGCACTATTCCTCTCTTCTCGTGCCTGTCTGGACACTGGAAAATTACAAATGGGCGACGGAGTGTATGGTGAAGTCACACAGTCCGCAACCTGACCAGAGGTCCTTTTAGATTGGAGATCCTTCTAACAATGAAATGAGAGGTTGATCCCAACCCTGAAAATGAAAAGGAAAGCTCAGTTTTTCTTTTTCTGCTTTTTAGCATGGGAATTGTTCCATTCACAGTTCACACGCTGCCAGACCCGCCTACTCACACCTAACACATTTCCACACGAATACAGACCAAGTCCAGGTTGTAGTTTTAACTGTCCCCTTCAACTTTCTTTTCAAAAGTTCTATATACAATTCCCTCAGATCACATATCATATGTTGGACACTTTCCAGAGAGATATGCAATGTTTCAATTTGCTGTTCACTAAAGAACTTGTGTAGAGTTACGAAGTGCAAATATAGTTTATATGTCTGCATTTTTTAACTTTACGCTGATCCACAGATTTTAAAACCTTAAAAGGGAATAGTATTGAAAATTTAAAGACATGCCATACTGGAAAATCTGTTTAAAAACATGCTGAGGATTGGAGAGAAATGACAGGCAGTTTGGCATTAATACGGTGAGGACAATACAGAAAGTTAATACTGAAAGGTAAAATGATTACCTTTGCCTTACACACACTGTAAAACACAGTTTACATATTTATTGTGATAAACAAATTACCTTCTGAGTGCAGTCAATTTAGTAACGAATAACTGAACCGCTGCCACTAACCAAATGAATGTGATACATAACTCTTTTAATTAAATACTGCTTAGTCACAATCCACACAATCGCAAGTAGTGCGATCACAATGACTAATATAACAAACCAGGATACTACGTCGCCTGTAATGAGTCATTTTTCACAACAGAATAAACATTTTCAAGATTTTCCACATAAAAATAAATATCATTTTGAACACAAAGGGTTCCATATAACATTAAAAAATAAAAGTTTGTTCATTCAAAATGAAAAATTGATAGTAAACACTCCAAAGCTTTTTTCTTACAACAAGTCATCCAGTAATTGAGTGATGTCTCTTTGTCTCATCAATCATTACAATAATTCAGCTGAGAATCTATCAGACAGCAGTGTCCCTTAATCACAGTACCAGCAGATATTCCCTCAGCATCAAGCATCGCTGTTCGGTTTGTGCACTTAACTAGCTAAATGCCCCCTGAGCCCGTGACTGACCACAACCTGGATATTTAGTTCTGCAAGACTGGCAGGTGAGGGGAGCTAAAGGTCGACTGCCTGCAGCCTGCAGCCAGCAGGGGACATGACGAGACATGATGGGAAATTCCCCCTGCAAGACTCAGCACTGCCAGCAGGGGGAGCCAGGTTCACCTGCCGCTGG